GCTTGCTCTGTTTCCTTTTTTCCCTCCTATGTTACACTTGGTTCAGTAATAATCATGAAAAGTAAAAATAAAAATTGAGAAAGTGTTTTGGACAGGAAGTGGAATATGATAGGCAATGTCATTAAACTTCCATGGTAAGAGTGTGACTTGAGGTCTTCATTAACCTTGCAGAATACTCAGGTACATAGCCAAAGATTCTGATTTAGAAGGCTGTTTTGGTCCTGTGAAACTGAATTTGAACATCCACTCCAGGGTATCTTGGATCAGTTTAGCGTGTGTGTGTGTGTGTGTGTGTGTGTACACACACATATATATATAACCTTGGCTACAAATTAGAATCAACTGGGGAACTTTGTAATTCTGATTCCCAGAACACATCTCTGACTAATTCAATCAGAATTTCTCAGAAAGGGTCCAGGAATCTCCTCAAATTCTAATATGCTGCTAATTTGAGAAACACTGGGCTGGAAAACAAAAAGGTCACAGGAGTGTCCCCATCAGGCTAAGACAACCAGGGACACACCTGATATTCCACAAAGTTAGATTTCTTAATTCATTGCAATGAAGGACTTGCACACAGAGGCACTGTGAGTGCCTCAGTAAACAAAAGCAAAGATGGAGTTATTTGAGTACACAGAAGGAGGGTGGATGCTAGGGTTTCGATAGGCTGAAAGCAAAGCAGAGCTGTGTATAAAGGGGTCAACATCAGGTCTGCAATGCAAAGTGGACCCAGAGTTTTCCTTCCTTGGCAGCAGGAATGTTGAGATAGATATGCAATGTGGTATCCAGAAACCCTTTATCTGAAGCTCTGCAGCTGGGTAGAAATCAAGAATGCTTTTCTGTGTCAAAATGACTTAGATCTTCCAGGCAAGAAAGGAATACGTCTTTCTCATAGATATGATTTCAGGCAGTAAGGTTTCTGATAATCCGTGATTTGGGAGAACAAAAATTTCTCAGTGTATAAGAAAGCAACAGTCACTCAAAGAAGCGGACACATTACAGCTGCAATACGTGCTTGGAGGAAACACTGATTCCTGTTAACTTTGCAGGTGACTTAATCGGTGTCTGTTATTCCAACTTGATGAATGGTGGGACAGATTTTTACAGTCTGAGCTAATTGTTTTACCTTCTCAGACATGGCAGCTATCCCCACAAAGTTGCTTCCAATAAGAAACATAGGGCGTAAAAAGAGGATCCCGATAACATGTCAGTGTGTAGATGTTATTCATGAATTAATTCAGCAAAGATGTATTGCGTGCCTACTATGTGCTGGGCTCTGTGCAGGGAACTGAAAATTCACTAATGAACACTACTCCATCCTCAGTTCTCAAGAAACTTACAAACTGGTTGGAGAAAAGCACAAATAAATAGGCAATTACAACAGTGTATAGAAATGTTATAGCTAGATTTAAAATAGAATTCCACGGACAATTAATCCAGTCTGGGGTATTCAGAAACTGAAAAAATATTATCAGATGTTATGGAAGAGAGAGGAGTGGTGGGGAGTTGGGTGTAGGGAAAGGGGCAGAAAGGTGGAAGTAAAAGAAAAATGACTTTGAAAATAGAATCATCTGACTTCTAACCCAGACTCTACTTCAGCAACTCACAGTTTTCTCACTTGTAAAGTAAGGAAAACAAATCAGAGACATAGTCATTGAGTACCAGACAGAGTTCTAAGTAATAGGAATACGTCAGTGAAAAAAAGAGACAAGCACCCTGACCCTTGTGTAACATCAATTAAAGCAGGTGTTTATTTGCAGAAAGTAAATAAAAACCATAACTAGTAAGTAAATTATTTGCTATGTTAGGTAATCAATGTCGAGAGGTGGTGGGGAGAGAATTGCTAGCGGAGGAGTCCTGGGAGAGGTGGGTGGAATTGAAGATTTGTTGTGACGTCTGTCAAAATGCGTAGGCAGCACGGGGCATTCTGGTGAGGTTAGATCACAGAAGTCATGCTTAGCTAAGCTAAGAGGGAATCCCCTGGACTGTGTCAGCCACAATTTTGACCTCACTCAATATTTCCCTGTTCTTCTGACTTCAGAAAGCCTGGCTTTGTACCTTAGATAAACTTCTTATTCTATAGCACAGTTCTGGACTTCTCATTGAGATCATTTCTGAAAAAGCAATCAGACAGCAGTTGACATTTCTTACAAACACTGGTAGCACTTGAAAAGTTTAAGGCAGAGCCCTGGTTTGTGTATAATGTTCTAAATTTCCCTTAGCTGTTCTTTCCCTTCCTTTCATTCCCTACTTCAACCAAAAGCTGATTAAACCATGGTTCTCAACACCCACGCTTTCGCCCCCCACCCTCAAAACCAGAACGATGTGTAAGAAATTTGGCTTGTCACATTCACCAGGATGAAGAGGTGTTTTGTTAATTTGGTGGAGACGGTCAGGGATGCTGAATGGTCTGCAATTTATGAGCCAGTGCATGTTAATTTTTTGAAAATGGATTTCATTCACAATGCCAATAACTTCTCTTTAAGAAACACTGGGTTAGGAAAACAAAACTTTGCCCAAAAGATTTAGCTATTTCGAAAATTAGATTATAATGTGCTCAAAGCCTACCTACCTCATTTGTTAAGGTGTTTCTATTTTAGTTTAAAATATTTCAGATGGGAAGGGTGAGGTGTAGTAATGCCTGTAATTCCAGAACTCTGAGAGGCCAAGGCAGGTGGATTGCTTGAGCCCACGAGTTCGAGACTAGCCTGGGCAACATGGTGAAACTCCATCTCTACAAAAAATACAAAACTTAGCCAGGTGTGATGGTTTGCACTTGTAGTCCCAGCTGCTTCGAAGGCTGAGGTGGGAGGATCACTTGAACCTGGGAGGGCCAGGCTGCAGTGAGCCGTGACATCATGCCACTGAGCTCCAGCCTGTGCAACAGAGTGAAACCCTGTGTAAAAAAAATTAATTAATTAATAATAATAGTAAAATGCTTCAGAATATACAAGGAAATACATGTGTGTTCATTTACTCTACATTTTAGTGATAGTCAATTGCTGTAATCAAGAATTTACACTCCAGATATAGTAAGTATCTAATCAAGATGACTATGGACATATGTTTTGGTAATTCAAACAATAAATGTTACAAGATTTTATTTATAAAATTTGATGCTTAATAATTAGCAAAATCGTGACCGTAATGGTTTTTTCAATAGTGAAACTGGTGTTATTAAAAATACATAGATTCTAAATGGTAGAGCATTCTTGCACCTCCGTGGTGTGAAATAAACCCATGAATAATCATGTTCAAAGCTTAATTGCTAAATGGTCCTGAATATAGAACACGGTTAAATGAACTATGGTAAACTATCATTTTGCTCTTAGGTATATACTGGGACTACAGTCTAATCGATGTGAAAATTTTCGTATATGCATAAAATAGAATAGTATACATTAATGCGAATGAACCATTGCCACACACAGCAACATGGATGAATTTCAGCAACATAAAGTTGAATTAAAAAATCAAACATAGAAGAATATATACTGTAAAATTTCATTTTAACTATTTTCAGAAATTGATTATACTAAAATTAATTGTGCTATGATTATGAAATAGGATATTATATTATACAGTTATTAAAACATTCAAAGATATTAAAAACTCATAATTTAATAAGACAATAATTTTTAAAACTATATGTATTATATATGACTCCCATTCTGGGAATAAAATATATGTATAAGTTGATAGAAGCATAACAAATGTGTGCAGAGAGATATCAATCAGGGTCTCAATAAGAAATATAGTGACATACTCAAATTAGAATAATACAAGAAGTCTTTATTTTAAAAACGGGAGAGCAGGATATAGGGGAACTACAAGGAATAAATAACACAGTTACTCCAAACAACAAGAGAGCTATTACCACCCCTAAACTTGAAGAGATAAGAAGAAGACCAGTTACCAAAGCACAAGAGAGAGTTGCCTAGAGGTGGCCTTCTCGAGAGGAGCAGTGGTTGCAGGAGAAGGAGACAGCCAGGCCAAGATGAGCACAGGGAGGAAAGGGGGAATAGTATAATCCACTCTCCTTCCTCCTCTCTGTCTTCTGCTGGGGCTTTCCATTTACAAAAGCCAACAAGACATCTCTGATGTGGTCTATACAGGTTGGCTCACCGGACAGAGAAATGGGTACACAAGGGTATGGGTGTGGTTATCAATACTGAGGATGTTCAGGGGCAGGTCTCAACCCAAGTGGCACGGATTACACATAGGATTGATTTCCTGGATTATCTTAGGAGATTCTGCAGGTATGGTCAATTGTTTTCTTTATATACCTTTATATTGCTTTACTGTAACAACAATATGTGCAGTATTTTTTTTTAATTCTAGTGGTAAAATGTATCTGTGTGTGAAGAGATGTGCATATGTGCCTGTGAATGAATGTATGTGAGTGTATGTATGAAAGAGAGAAAAAGAGGCAGGAGGGGTGTGAGAGGGAGTGGTTTAATGAGATTGTATGTGTGCAGGTGAAGTGGTATAGGTAAAGTGAGATGTCGTGTCTGTGTGTGCATGTGTCTGTGGGGGAGGCATATTAATGGTTGTATGCGTATATGAAATGTGGAGGTGGGGTATATGTGAATGAGGACAGTTGTGAGAGTGTACGAGTGGATCTGAAACTATATGTGTATGAGGTGTGTGTGTGTGTGCACACGTATTTATGTATGTGAATAGGTGTGTTTCTGTGAGATAGTTGGGAGTGGGGTGTGCAAGAGGAGTGTGTTTGTGACGGAGTATGTGAGGTGCACAGGTGGATGTGGAACCATGCAAAGGGTAGGCCGGTGTGTTTGAGGGTGCATTTGTGAGACGTGTGTGGCAGGGGTGTTTGTGAGGGGACATACATATTAGCATGTGTGCATGCAGGTAAACACATATGTGAATGTCCTTAGATACATCTACACACATAGAAATAGAAATATTTTCTTCAAGTAAAAAGAAAACCAGAAGAAATTATGCCAAAATGTTAATAATAGTAATCTCTAGTGACAGGATAAGAGGCAAATTTCATTTTCTTTACTTTTTTGTTCGATTGCAATCAGGAAAATAATGAACATTTTGGTCTGTTTTCTTTGCTCCAAGAATACATGAAAATATTACTGTATCTTTTTGGCAGTATGTAAAAAAATCTTGACTAATAAAATATTCCTTTATGGGACTATGTTTGAAAATTGGAACTGCCTTTTTCAATATATAACTGAACAGATACCTAAATCCCTGGTTAATTTGTAGAAGGAAATCTTCCACTTAAATTTGAGAACGATTAAAACATTTAATTTTGTAATATAACGTAATTAATTCCTAGGTATTCAGTAACTGAAACTAATTGCTACTGATGTTTTCAAGCCAACGACCTAATGGTTTTTGCATTAATGAGTCAGTGAAACTAGTTCAATGTCCCATTTATATCAAACTGCTTCAGAGAGTTAAAGGGCTTTAGGTTTTCCAAAAACTCAAAGCTTATACTACACATTAATAGTGATTATCAATAGAAAGAGGGGTTTAGATAAGTTTTAATTTTTCTTTCACTTTAGTGTTCTATTTACAGATGTTTTGTTTGTTTTTAATGATGTATATCTAGGGCTTATGTAATAAGGCTTCTGTTAACCAATTTTAAAGCAGGTTTTCTTCCTAAGTAGAAGAAATAGGCCTTGAATTCTTTCACTGAAAACTTATTTTCTCTGCACTGCCTCATTTCACTAGTAACAAAATAGGGAATTTTCCCTCTTTCAAGTTATGTTTTTATAAAGGAAAAGTTTGTGGCAGTAAATGGCTGAAGTGTTATTCTATTTTTAATTTATTTCGAGCTTAGACAAGTTTTTTTTAAAGTGAATTACTACCACCGACATCAAGTCTTTCAGCCCAATTTATTTTGTATTGTTTACTGTAGGCTCCACGGTATCTATGTAACTTGAATTGGTTGCCTGAGTCGACCAAAAATAAAATTCTAAGCCCCCCAAGATCCGAACAAGGCCCTCCTCTCAGCCACGGGCATTCCAAAGTTATCCTGAAAAACTAGTTCAGGCCATGATGGGAAGGGGAGGTTGGACATGCTTCATAATACCCTCCTCTCTTTTGGAATTCAGGAAAAGCTGACCAGCATAAACATCAACAGACCTTAGGTCTGATAAGAAATATTTACAATCTATTCTCCCTAAAGCCTGCTATCTGGAGGCTTCATATGTATTATAAAACTTTGGTCTCCATAACTCCGTATCATAACCCAGGCATTTCCTTCCTGTTGATTCCAGGTCTTTAGATAATAACTGTTTCAATCAATGCCAATCAAGAATCTTTAAATCTACCTATGACCTGGAAGACCCCACTTTGAGTCGTCCTACTTTTCCAGATTGAGCCAATGTACATCTTACATGTATTGTTTGATGTATTATAACTCCTTAAAATGCATGAAAGCAAGCTCTACCCCAACCACCTTGGGCATATGTCATCAGGATCTTCTGAGGCTGTGTTATGGGCCTGTCCCTAACCTTGACAAAATAATCTTTCTAAATTGATTGAGAACTGTCTCAGATATTTTCAGATATTTTTGAGTTCACACTTGAAATCGTGGAAAACAAGTTTAATTTTATGTAAATAGCAAATTAATAAGTAATTATATATATCAGATCTTTTCTTCACACTCAGCTTTTAAAATGTGAACAAGTCAAACTCAATTGCAAATGCTATTAAGTGAGGCCAAACTGAAGACACTCATGATTGCAAAACATAATCACTCAACCAGAGAGGAGCACTGACACCCAGGAATGCTTTCTATTGTCTGATCTGTGCTTCTCCCTTTGTCTCATCTGATTTCTCAATAGCACATCATTAAATAGACTGACTTCAAATAATATCATTTGGAAACTGCTAGGAAAATGTTAACAGAAACAGTCTTAAAAACCCACCATGTGCCTTTTCCTAGGGGTAAAGGAAGAGTAATCAGGCTTTTACTCGGCTGCTACATCAAACCACTGCTGTGGTTCAGTGAACACCTTATTTTCCCACTTGAATTTGAGCTCTTCTGCAAGATCGCTCCTGCCAATCTTGCGGAGATGTCGAGCCAGGAGGCGAAGTTTGTTGGTGAAAGTTGGAAGTGATTTTTTCCAGAAGCAAAGAAACTCGTGGATCTGTTCTGTGAGATCATCAGGGTTCTTGAGTTTGATGAGCTGAATGGTGCTACGGTGCAGAGGGAGAGTTGAGGAAAGAGACTCAGCATTTTCTTCTGACAGCTCCTCAGCCAACCAATGGAGCAAGTTATCCCAAAGGGCTTCTGTCAGGCACAGGAGGAACACTCAGAGTTAGGACTCTTTCCTGAAGGATACATGGGTCTAACCCTCCACACCTGTTTATAGGAAGTCTCCCTGCTCTTTGGTTTGGCCTTGGAGCGTGGTGCACAGATATGAGACTACCTAGAGCAATAGTCAAAAGCCTCTGAATCCCTGGCAGTCTGGGATCATCTCCTGGGGGCACTAACTATTGCAGAGAGTTTTAAATGTTCATGAAATTTTAATGTACCTGAGAACCAAGAGGGTGTGTTAAAATGATTTTTACACTCTGCTTTACACTCTGCTCTACATAATCTAATTGAGAAAAACTAGAGTAGGGGCAAACTTGACATTTCTAACAAGCTCCCAGAAGATGCTGGTGCTCAGGTCCCCAACCATGCTTTGAGTAGCACTGTTTATTTGTTTTTTGTTGTTGTTGAGATGGAATCTCGCTCTATCTCCAGGCTGGAGTGCAGTGGTGCGATCTCAGCTCACTGCAACCTCCGCCTCCTGGGTTCAAGCGATTCTTGTGCCTCAGACATCCAAGTAGCTGGGATTACAGGCATGCGCTACCACACGTAGCCTTTTTTTTTTTTTCTATATTTTTAGTAGAGATGGGGTTTCACATGTTAGCCAGGAAGGTCTTGATCTTCTGACCTCGTGATCCGCCCACTTTGGGCTCCCAAAGTGCTGGGATTACAGGTGTGAGCCACTGTGCCCGGCCAAGTAGCACTGTTTTTGAAGGGTCATTTTAGGTTCAAAACGTATTTCTCCTTATTAGTGCTAATCTGATGCATAAATTGTACCAGCAGCTAGCCAATCCTCACACACATCCCTAACTATACACACAGTCACACACACACACACACAAACACACACACGACACGATCTACCACCCAAAAATAATTCTGTGGAAGATCCTTTATACCAACATTTTCCACTGGGCCATCCTCTGTTGACTCCTGTTCACCTGTTGTTATGGTTGTTACTGATATGTAACTTAGATCCATAGCTCTAAATAAAACCTTTTTCTCCGCTACCTGTCTCCTTTCACACTCCAGCCCTCCCCTGCATCATAACCACTTTCTCCCACTCTCATGCTCCACCCCTGCACCAGTTTCCCTGGTCTGGTGTTAAGCAAGCATTCTATCTGCCTTCCATTCATTACTCGACTATTCCTTCCTCCTACACACTCCTGTAAATTGCACTCTGATTTTACAATATAAAGCCACCTTTCTGTGAAAACAAGGAAAAGGGGCCAGCACTTCCTTCTTCTCCATCATCACTTTCAACCCAGTGTTCTGCTACCTCCATGCAATGCATTCAATTTGAAGTCCATGCTATCTGGGCAGGCTTTTCTTGTCCCATCTACATCATCAGCAACACTCTGTAGGCAACTTCATCAGCAGCCCTGCGGATCATCATTCACACGTCTGACCCCAGATTATGTGGTTCCTTAATTTTGTCAACTCCAATGACATGTCTCGTGACGCCAAACTAGAAACTGACTTTCAAGGCCAATCTTCATGTTTCATGCTCAGCCAGAATTATTCTACCTCCATGGTTTCAGCCTCTTAATATTACTGTTGACCTCTACCTCCTAAACTTATTCCATGGCCTCTATTCCTTTGCTTCTGCCCAATATACTCTTTGCTGCCATCAGTACTATAGTGATCCCTTGGTGTCCCCCAGTCATTCAGTCACCTCTGCAGAGTCTCACATATCTCTATACCTGCACTGCTCCTAGTGATCAACTATGCACATCAACGATAGTCTTGCATCCACCTTAAAATATGTTGTCTTTTTTAGCTTTCATTTTTCTCGGTTTGTCAATCTGAATCTTGAGTTATTCAGATTGCATTCACTTACCTGGGCTGCCTGAGGTTAGGAAAATATGTTGAATGCGATCAACAAACTATAAGCTATGTAATACCATTTAAGCCCTTAGTCACTTGAAAATCCATTAAGAATAATTTTTCTAAACTCAATATAAATTTGTTTGTAACAATGACATTAATCTTTTCTCCTATCCTTTAGCCCCAATCTCAATCTTATTCTGTTTCTCTCAGCCCGTGTCTGCTTCTACTTCACCCAAAGTCATTTGACTTGATTTCTCCTAACTTTGTTTTCATTTCAAAATTGCTTTCTTACAAAATCTCACCCCTCTGTGTTTGCTGGATTCCATCCCTCACACTATATTTCATCAAGTATTTTCCCTTCACACCTGTCCCTTAATCTCCCCTTCACCAAGGCTCCTTCCTTGCTTTCTACAAACACCCTCAGGCCTCCTCTTCCCTTGCGTCTGCTACTGTGTCACGCTATTGTGCTATTTCTCTCCTTCTCTTTATCACATATTCTTTTAATGTCTAATGTAAACTTGAGGCCTCAAGTTCCTCACTATTGACTCACTACTTAAACCTCTGCTTAGGGGTTCTATTCCCTTCTTCAAAACTCTATTGAAGCTTTCCTTTCCAGTCTTCTGAGAGGCCTCCTAATTACTACGCACTGCACTGATTCCTGGCCTGCATCTTCTCTGATTTCCATGGAGCATTTTACTCCTCTTCTTGGAGTCCCTGGCCTCCCCTGCTTCTCCTCTTTCCTCTCTTGCCCTTTGTCAGCTGTCTTTTCCCCCTGCTAACTCTCTTCCTCCTATATTCTTTTCCCTCTGCTCACTCTTTTCCTCCTAATACTGCTGCATTACTGCTCCTATCTCAGACCTCTTCTATTTCTGTCCCATCCCCTCAATGAACGAATGCATCAACTCTTACTGATGCTACCTTATGGGAAATATCCTAGATCTACCCAATCTTTATCTTTTGGCATTGTTTTCCTAAATCCTGGTATAGCACTCCAATATTCATCTCCTAATTATCTGTCAGTGGATACTACAGCCAAAACAAATGTCATATTTCTAAAATCAAAATAATCAATGACGGCCTTTCCTTCTCTCTATTCTTGATCTTCCTTCACTCTATTCACTTTCTTAGTTAATGTGACCACTCAGCTGAGCAAGCGGAGACATGTGATGTTATTCACATTTTTCAAAGCCTATTTCTTATCCCCTGCACCCAAGTCCTGATGTTCCTAACCCTGAGCATCTCAAATATTTGCTCTACTTTCCTGCCTTGCTGACTCAATCTTAACCGTGTTCTACCTAGCTTCTTCCTTGCCTGTTGCAGGAACCAGGGTTCTCACTTGTATCCCTGCTGTCAGTTTTGGTTCACCTGAAAGTCTAATCTGATCTTGTCAGTCCTCCGTTAACGAATTTCTTGTAGGGTCTTCCTACTGTCTAAATGTCTTTACTTGGCATTTAAAACTTTTCATGTTTTCTCCCACTCAAAATGTCTAAGCTCATCTACCGTCACCCTTCCTTCAGCAGTTCTGATGGCATTGGTCATGTGGGAGGACTCGCGTGAGGACAAATATCTCCTAACCTGTGTAAGAAACTAGAATTTCCCAGTACCCATAAGAAGGATCCTTCTACCTTTGTACTCTCCAGTGACTGTTGATGATGGCAGCGATTATGCTTTTATCTGGACTCAAATTCTTCAAAGGTTAACAGCATTATTAAACTTGCAAAGCTTTCATCTATTGCTGTTGTTGTTTTCTGTATCATCTGCTCTCTTTTTAGACACAGTTTATTTATCCTTGCAAGGGTTTATAATATGGTGTTTATTATATCTTATTCCTAATGGAGTTTAGTAAGACCTGAACATTTTCTCTACCAATCCATAAGGGCAACCCCTGATTGGAAGTCTGTATCATTCGTAGTGGGCTTGATGCACTAATAAGAACATTTCCTTTGATGTCTTTTGAAGACCAATAAATTATCACATTAGTAGCTACTGACAACACAAAATAAAATGTTTCAAGAGCTAAAATAGAATAAAAGTTTCCAATTGTACCCTGAAATCTGTAGCATTATTATATAATTGAATTATGCATAATGACAACCAAATATTAAATGTTTCTTGTGGTTTCACATCAATATATACCTCAATTTCAAATCGATTGACTTCAAATGTAGATTTGAATTGACCATACTTTAAGATTTACAACTTAGGAGTCAACATTTCAGCTCAAAGTATAGTCATCTTTTTAGTAAACTAAGCAACTGCTAGTCATACGAATAAAAGTAAACTCAGTAACATTTATATTTCTTGCAGATTTCAACTCAGCTTTAATTGCTGCAGATTTAAGAATGCTAGCTTGGTTTATTTGTGTATGACTTCCCAGGAAATAAGTATTTATTAGGCCAATAAAGTTAATGACTGTTTAATTGGAAAGTCACTTTCTCCATTCCTTTTTATGAAATGATTCACATATATATAACATATAAGGGGGGTGGGGAAGCACCATAATGATGACAAAGCAAATATTCCTCACCTACAGGATCCTTAGAAACTCTTTGGGTACTCTGTGGACGGTTGATTAATTTCTTATGCTATTGGGGGAAAGGAACACAAAATAAACAGAAGAAATAATTAATTTGTGAATAAGCTACAACAAAAATTCATCCGAACCTCATCTCTATTTGGAAGAAGTACTGAATTGTATACCTCACAAAATTAAATACCGTATTTGTGCATGCATGCTCAGCACTTGTTTTCCTAAGTAAAGAAAGTATACTAACCCAAATATTTCAACACATTTAAATTTAAGAATACACATTTAAATATTATTAAAGCACTCAGATTAACTCTAAATGAACATTTTCCAACCAAAATTTAAAACTGTTAAACCAGCTAGCATAGAGCAAGCTACCAGCATGCTATAAAGATGATATTTTGTATTTTGTAAAATCCCCTGTGGGGCAGGCGCTTTGCCTCAACACTCAGCACAGAACCTGGCACCTAACAGGTTAAAAGCAATCAAATCAGTGAGCAGATACTATTCGAAAACTAACATTTTATCAAGAAGTAAATATATTTATTTCGCTAGCTTTCTACAGAGTCTGCAGAACAGTTTTTTCTCAGGTAATATGAGATAGCGGAGATAGCATATGAGATAAAATAAAATTATCTGGGTTCAGATACCTAGCCAGTGTTTGAGTAGCATTGCACTTTGGGGAATTTATTTAAATGTTCAGCCTCAGCCCTGAAATGTCTTTATGGATGCCTACATCACAGAGTCTTGCACACAAATGTTCACAGCATCTTTATTTGAATTAGCCAAAAACTTGAAACAACTAAAATGTTCTTTAATAGATACACAGTTGAACAAACTATAGAACATCTACACTACAGGATACTAAAGTAATAAAACAAAACAAAACACTGGTACATGGGACAATTGGCAAGGACCTCAGGGCATGATGCTAAGAGAAATATTCTAGTCTCAAAAGGTTATGTATTCTGATTATATCACATTGTTGAAATTACAAGATTATAAAGATGTAGAACAGATTAGTGATTGCCAAGGGTTACTGATGGAGGAAGAAGGGGTGAGGGAGCACAAAAGAGCTTTGTGGTAATGGAATAGTTCTATATCTTGAATGTGGTAGTTACATAAATCTATACCTGATAAAATGCCAGAGAACTATACATACACATTGTATCAATGTCAACTTCCTGGTTTTGATATCTTGCCATAGTTATCTAAAATGCAACCACTGAGGAAATCTGGGTAAAGAATACATTGAACTTCTCTGTACTATATTTTGCAGCTTCTTGTGAATCTATAATTACTGTATGTCAAAACGTTTCTTAAAGCTTATTTCACAGCAATGATACGAGGATGATGTAAGTGTTACATGTTAATGAGTAGCATACTGCTTCCCACTGAGCCCCCTAATACAAGTTAGTTGAATCTGAATATCACGTTTTATAGGCATTCTTGTCACAAATATTACATAAACATGGAAACATATAAAACTTCTATTAAGAAGTTTTAATGGGAAAAAAATTAAGAAACATAGCATGAGTTGAAGTATGTTATTATACTATAGCACTGCAAAATAGCGCATATACTTTTCAAGGCATCAGCTATGTGTTTGAACCCCTCAAAATATTGAGAGAGAAATACCAGTTTAAATGATGCAGCAGATTGTATCATTCCCATCAAAGGGCCCATGGCCTTGGACAAGAGATACATACTGAGACTTTTCTTTGTATCAGCAGTTTCCCCCCCCCCCCCATTAACTCTTTGTTCACAGATGTCTCATCGCATTTTGATGCACACAGAATGCTTCCAGTGTTTAAATTTTTTTTCATGTACATGACAATGCAATTCAAGTACTTCATCTGATGCACAACCATGGAAGCAGTGAATTGGGGTAGCTCAGGTTCTTTTTAGACTTCCAGGCACTGTGCTGGTCGCCTATGTGGTCCCTTCATAAAGGATTTTCATAAAGGATTTTCAGTGTTGCCTTCTCTTCCCTTCCCTTTCATTTTCCTCCTCTCCGTGCCCCCAAGCCTTTTTTGCACGATTTTGGTTTGTGCACTCTTTTCGCTTGCACACTACCTTTTGGACCTCCTTGGTGCTCAGGCTCAGCTACAAGCAGAACAGTCAGCCAACATTTGGCCTCCTGCAGTCTCCCCTCTCACAGGTTCCCAGCATCCCTACGTGGCTCACTGGATGCCTTCCTTAGCAGAAACAGCTCTCATTCCCACGTCCCCCCCCCCCCCCCCCCCCCCGCAACCCCCGCCTTTCCTCTCTTGCCTCCTTGCAATCAAAAGATGCCTTTAAAGGCACTTCTCTGCTTCTTATTTGGTTTTTATTTGCAGGTTCTATTCCACAGTTTTCCAAGTCTAACTCTGTAACTGAGTATCCCAACTTCCAATCTCAAAATTCATTTTTAAACTTTTTGTTTTTCCTTTCTTGATTTTAGCCTTGAAATATACTTTGAAACTGTTTGTTTCTCCCTTTGCCACCAGGCACTTCTGTGAACCATGCTTGCTTATCTAATTATGTGCTTGCTTAGAAATTCCAGGGGCCAATCTTGAAACAAACCAGGCAGAGAGACCAAGCTGTGAAATCCTCCCTCTTAGCGGGAGTTACAAACGGCCCTCCGCTACTAGGCTGAAGTCAGGATCACACAAACTGGACCTCCAGATGGGCGATTACGCGGGATAGCCCTTACAACAAGACACACAGACCTGCACCTTCCTGCACGACTCCTGCATGCTTTCCACACTTTTTCCTTCTTAAACTCCTTCACTCCGCCCAAAATGTTGAAATAGTCATTTGAAGGCATTAACTTGGCCTTTCCACCACATGCTAGCATTTAGTTAGCAAAAGTGCTTTCCCTTCAAAACAGTAACAATAACAACCACCACCACCACAACGACAAAAGGTGCCATTTGATTACATTTTCTCAGATTCTATTTGTGAAACTAATATTTCTTATTCCTCTCAAGTAATCTGTTTTATGTTAACGTTGCATATTTTAATTTGCCACCTACGATATCTTAAATGCCACTTGCAACATGTCAGTGCGCTGGAGAAATGCTGGACAAATTTAAACGGGACTCTCCAGCTCTCTGTAAACTGTTTCCTTGCTGCACAATCCACATTTAAATGGGTATAGTGGGGCTTATGTGGCAGTTTTCCCTGAATTATAAGCCTCTTGAGGGCATCAGTATAAAAATATAAGCAATTCAGATATGTACGGATGTGTCACATTTTATGCTGTTAAGCACGATGCAAGTCTTATCTATTTAGAAGTCATTTTAAATATTGAAATCAAAGACAGGCACCTACACCACAAAGAGGTGTGAGTGTCTTAAGCTTTATAGCCACTATCATTAGGATTCTTTTGATTACTGACTACTCTTTCCATGCTCCCTAATTATAGCCCTGTATTGAATTCTTAAAGCAAAGTAAACCATTTTTTACTTGAACTCATATGTGTGAAAATTTGATCTTTTGTGTGAAACTCAACAAACTGGAGTTGGTTACATCCACTCAGTTACCCAGTGTTATCTCCCAAGGAACCTCCACGAGTTTACCGTCCTTGGGGCTTTTCAGTGCTCCAAGATCCAGCCATTATCAGTCTTCCCTTTACTCAATAGACTTAATGTTTTTGAGGGCCAGGAAAGTATATCTCATTCCTGTGTATGTCAGACATCATTGTAGATAAGGTGTTGTACACACAAAGCGGTAAATAATATTTTATTGGCTGAGTGCAGTATCATGCTTATTATCCCAGCACCTTGGGAGGCTGAGGCAGGAGGATAGCTTTAGCCCAGGAGTTTGAGTCCAGCCTGGGCAACGTAGCAAGACCTCATCTCTACAAAAAAATACAAACAAACAAAAAAAAAGCCAGGCATAGTGGCTCACTCCTGTGGTCTCAGCTACTTGGGAGGCTGAGGTAGGAGGATCACCTGAGCCTGGGAGGCAGAGGTTGCACTGAGCCGAGATCATGCCACTGCACTCCAGCCTAGGTGACAGAGTGAGACTCTGTCAAAAAAAATTAAAAAATATAAAAAAATAAAAGAAACAATAGTAGGCAGTGGTTCTCAAACCTGGGTGTTCCTGCCACTGAACCTTGAGAAAAGGGCAAAAACGGGAAGCTCACACTTTGATTCAACTGGTCTCAGATAAGGCCACATTTGGAATAAGCAACTGGGTGATTCTGATGCTGAGGCTGGCTGACTGCACATAGAAAAAGTTAATCAAGTATCAAACCCTACATGAATTATCAACTAGCAACCCTATAAATGTATCCCAATGAATGCATGGAAGAACGAAAGAAATATCTTTATCCAAAAAGTGATGAAAATTTCTAATGTCACATCAGGACAAAAGTAAACTTCAGATTGCTTCATTTTACCTAAATCTATAGTAGTCATAAAAATATTAATTTCTATTAAGTAATTTCATAAATTACCTTACAGGAATCACACAGATGACCTAGCTCTGGGGCCCATCTCCTCATGCAGACATTCCAGCTTCTGGAAAATTTTCTCAAGTATTTCTGGCAGTTCCATGGGCTTTACTCTCTTGGTATCCACATTGTTCCACTAGGTGCCCCCAGTGCTCAGCTGGACCATGCAGCCCTCCACACTCCTTCTGTGGGCACAGCAGCTTCTCCCTATGCATCTGTCATCATGTAGCATGCCATGATGGTTTCTACCTGTCCTTCAGTTTTGCTTTCATGGTGCCACATAGCTCCAGCTGACATCTGTGGTTTCCGCAGGTTTGCACAGCTGCTGTCCTACTGCTTATCTGCTAGGTCCCACCAGCAGTGATACCACTGTACCTGCTCAATACTGAGCTCTTGGTCCCTCTTGCTTCTCTCCCAAGGAAAAAAATCCTCATTAGTGGCCAACCTAAGCTCTCTCTCCTGGTATATGAGCTATGTGGCAAAACATGATACGATGAAGAAAATGGCTTCCTACCCCTCATGTCATATGACATTAAAGTAATATGCACTGTGCCCTGATATGCCACAGAACTAAATAAAATAGGCTTTCTGTTTTTTTAATTAAAACTTTTTTCCGT